GACAACTCCACTTTGAAGAACACACGAATAGCCGAGAAAAAAATCACAGTATATCCACGAGGTGAATGATGACGAGTGGAGCGAAGCGTGCGAACAGACGAACGCAAGCACGGAGGTATGGATGCACATACGGATGCACAGAAGCATGGACGGACTGACGGACGCTTCGTCCCACTCATCATCATTCACTCTATGGATAGGCTGTGACACCATTTTTATTAGATATCAAATGCAATGCAACTGGCTGCTACGGTGACACGGGACGTACGACCCACGACGCAGGAAGCTTCGCCCCTAAAAAAACACGTATGTTGATGAGCCGACCGAAACAACATTTCAAATGCAGCATTCGGTTATGCTTTAATACGAGCAATAAGAAAGGCACCTTATCTCGCAAAGTACACTGTCCTTTGTCGGAACAAAGTTTTTTGGCCGATGTTGTGCAGCCACGGTTGTTGCGCAAGCTTTCGCGTTTACCTTGGGGTATCATAAAAAGTGCATAACCAATTTCACTGTGGTTATTGCAGTCATAGGCGCAACAGCATGGCTTAGCGCCCGCACAAACAATAACCCGCACAAAGTTTAGAAAACAAAGCGCGCGCTATGTTTGTTACGCGCAGCGTCGGCGAAAAATGGCGCGAGCGAAAAAGAAAAATACACAAGCAAAGCGCAAGATCCACGCGTCTCCAACGGTAACCGCGAAGGAGACCAGTCATCGTCCAGAAGAAGTGTGGGAGACGGGGAGGGCGCAAAGGTGGGAGAGGAGGAAGCGAGGAGGTCGAGCGCGCGGCGGCGAGCACAGTGGATGGCAGCACTTTCCCAAGATCAAGGGATTTTAGGGAAAGAGTGAGGTCACCGCGCACGTTGAAGGAGAGCATAACCTACTTGGCCCCGCCCAAACTACTGCGGGGAGGGTAGCGCGGGGTGGTGCATTGGTACGGATACAGGGACGGACAGCGTTACACAGGCTAGTCAGAGAGCTGCTTCGCATCTAAAAGGACGTTAAAATATGTGACGCTTTTTTACCAAAAACATTTCCACGCTGTTTGTTCGCTGCTTGGTGCCAAGCAGCCGCCACCACCACTTCATGACGTCATGGCGGCAGCCTTCTGGCCTTGAATGTCTAGGTGGTGTTGCTCTAGTACTCACTCGTCCAGAAAACAAATTTAGGCGAAAAAACCTTCTCACCTCCACTGCGCATAAACTGTAGTGATAGCAAATGGTGCTTGCTACCAGTAGCCTAAATAAGGGGGTTGGGGGGGGGGGGGGTCAAGGGAGTCTTGACTCTTCTTGCAATCGGACAGGAGCGGAAAACCCTTGTAAGTGTTCAATCGGACTCACTCAGACTCAGATCAAGCTGTGAGTCTGAGTTTGAGTGAGTCCGGGGGACGAATATTCTCGTGAGTGTGAGTTCTGTGAGTCCAGTTGAAGAAAATTTTCGCGCGTGTGAGTCCGAGTGAGTTCGGCTCACACAGATTTTGCGCGACTGTGGTGGTGGTGGTTGTGAAGCTGCAAAGGCAAGGTTAGCGTGACCTAAAGGCCGGCAATTGTTTTGCCTGAACATTCCTCAAATTATAGGCGTCAGCCACCAAATGTCACTGAGCTCAGTGTTTCGCCAGAAAGCCATCAGATCCGTTGCACGCTCCTCCTCGTCACCATGGGTCCTCCAGGAAAAATGAAATCTTGCAATGTCCCGTGCTTGTGACAACCTTTCTTCAAGTTGCGTAATATCTCTGTTCTCTCTCTGTCAAACTGCGGGCACCGGGTGAGTGTGAGTCCGAGTGCGTCCAAAGCGCAATCTGCATTTCTTGAGTGTGTCTGAGTTACACTTTCTTTTGCCGACCTATAGGCCTTAACTAGTCATCTTCAGCATTATACTATCTGCCTTATTTGGGTTCCCGTTTATGCTGACGTTCACTGATAGACATTTCAAAGCCTTTGTCGTTCATGCATGCGCCATTTCAATATTTGTTTATCAGAGGCGTGAATTACGTAGAGGGGGGGGGGGGGGTAGTTGTCGTCACCTTTCCCCCCAACTCTTCCAGGTAAATTATTAATAAATATATCTTATGCTGTCATCTCTTCAAAAAAATTACCGTATACCTTTGAAGCACTCAGAACTCGTTTTGGAAGATACAGCGTGAAACGGCACCTAAACGAGCACCGGTTACTGGAGAATTGGTGTTAAAAAAAACCAAAGCATATCCACGGAGTGAATGATGATTGGTGGGGCGGAGCGTTCGTCAGTCCGCCCGTGCTTCCATCCGTACAATTGTTTTTCCTTCCGTCCGTGCTTCCGTGCGTGCGTTTGTCCATCCGTCTGACCATTGGTGTGTCCATCCGTCCTTGCATCCGTCCGTACGTTCATTGTGCCGTCTGTCCGTTCGTGCGTCAATTCGTGCGGCCGTCCGTGCGTCCGCCCTTCTGTCTGTCTGTCCGTCTGTGCGTCCGTCAGTCCGTCAATCCATCCGTCTATCTATCTAGTGAACACTCCAAGTACTGCCATCTCACATCTTTTTATCATGTATTCATCTTATCCAAGTACCGCCATCCAGCAGACATTGTAAGGACCACTCTTTCGGGTATGTGTCACCGGTGGTTACGCACACCAACGAGAGACGCACAAGGGACGCCATAAGGAGCTTCGCCCATTAAAGCATTCACACAATTGTCGAAAAAGCCAAGTTTAGGCTAATGGACTCATGAGCCGACTCACTCGGTCTCCCTCAGACTCTGATCGAGCTGTGAGTCTGAGTGAGTCTCGGTGAGTAGTATTTTTATGAGTTTGAGTGCGAGTGAGTCTAGTTGAAGAAAAGTTTCATGAGTGTGAATCCAAGCGAGTGCGGCTAAGGAAAACTTTCGTCACTCTGAGTGCGAGTGAGTAGTCCAAAGCTCGAAATATATTTCACGAGTGAGTCTGAGTGAGCTCCACAAGTTTTGCCAACATATGGCTGGAACCACCGAATTTTAAGTCTTTGCAGTATTCTAGAGACGACCCTAAGAAAAAAGAAAAAAATCTGAGCCCATCCTAGCCCAATACACTATCTGATGCCATCTATCTAGAAGGGATGGTGCGCTCTGCGACATGTTGCTACTTGTAAGGCCACGCAGTTTCGAACATAAACTTACGTGCTAGAACGTAATACAAGACCAGTTGTATATTTGAAGTCAAAAATATTGCAATTGCTCCGCAAATGTTTTAATTTAATGATCAAGTGACCGACAATCCACTGTTGATAAAATGTACAAATCAGCGCATGTTTAGTGTTGCCTCGTAGTCCTTTGTTACCTTGCGCTAAATATAGTTTCTTACCAACAAGGCCGAAGTTCTCCCACTATGCTGTTAGCCTGATTTTAGAGAACTGTTTGCTTTATTATTTGTCCCGTGCAATCTCTTTTGTGTTTGCAGACTTCGCCATGGCTCCGTTGCCCACATATGTATGTATTCTCGATGTGCGCACAAGCGTACAATATTTGGTATTTAATGGTAATATATATATATATATATATATATATATATATATATATATATATATATATATATATATATATATATATATATATATATATATATATATATATATATATATATATATATATATATATATATCTATATATATATATATATATATATATATATATATATATATATATATATGGTGGGGTGAAATTCAATGGATCCGGTGGAAAATGCGGTAGAAAAGAGGTCGACAAACGTGCGAAAAAAAAAACACTAGTTTTACTCACGTTTCGGCAGGTGGGCCTGCCTTCGTCGGAGTGAATGATGGCATTCACTCCGACGAAGGCAGGCCCACCTGCCGAAACGTTAGTAAAACTAGTGTTTTTTTTTCGCACGTTTGTCGACCTCTTTTTCTACCGTATATATATATATATATATATATATATATATATATATATATATATATATATATATATATATATGTATATATATATATATATATATATATAACTAAACATAGATATTACTTTTCAGTTATGTACCTATTATTTGTATAAGCTATTCAGTGTATCAGTATACATGGTGTTATTGTATTCTTGTCTTTGACTCCTGCATGGGCCCGAGGAGGGTCTGCAGCGTCTGCAAACACACACACACACACACACACACACACACATATATATATATATATATATATATATATATATATATATATATTATATATATATATATATATATATATATATATATATATATATATATATATATATATATATATATATATATATATATATATATATATATATATATGGGGGGTTCCAAGAAGAACAAAAGCAAGATTATTTTTGCTCGTTAACCGAATTGTTACATGGTGTGCACAAGTCTGCATGAGTTCTTAAGTGATGGTGATGTTGGTTGCGGCGGCCTGATGACAAAAACAAGTCGATCGATAGCGGTCGTCGACGAGACGGCTTGAATACACAGTCGAGGCAAACCCAGTGTCGATCCCACGACTGCTGTCGCTGTAAAAGGATGAAGGGAACCTTCGACGGCATCTTTCGAGCGCCATTAACCCTATTGTCACTGCTGGTACCAGCGTGCAACCCGTTCGGACGTGAGATGCTCTTGACAAAAGCTGGTGCTCGCCGTTGCTCATGTCACCGCATCCGTCCTCGAAGGAAACACAACAGGTTCGTTTCTCTTTTACTTCAAGACGTCGCCGTATCCATTCCCAGACGCCGACGCGGGAAACTAGGACACGGATTCGTCCGCCGCTCTCCGCGCCGAGGCACGCTTACAAAACAAGACAACCATCAGGCGGCGGCGGGCAGCACACAGGGCAGGAGCAAGGAAAAACGGTTCGATTTTTTTCCCTTGCCGGATTCCTAGGTGCTCTTCGGGTCCCTTCCAGCTGCTGGGAGTTGAAACGTGGAGGAACTGCGCGGCGCGCATGCGCTGACTAGCGCCGACCAGCACCGCCTCTCGGCGGAAAAAAAAACGACGGTGGAGGAAGGGGAGAGAGATTTGTTTTGCTTTGGAACGGCGGGCCGCCATTTTAGAGCGACGAGGAAAGGCGAACGTGGTGCCGGCAACGCGGCTCTCTACGGTGCGAGGACGACGACGCGTGCTTCGCACGTCCAGCAGGTGCCGGCGACCAAGATGAGTGTGTCTACAGACAGGAACTGTTGCTAGCTGACGGCTCCGTCCGAGGGAGCCGATCGGAGGTGGAGAAGCAGTTTCGCAAATCTATAACCTATTATTTTCAGTTCCACGCTCGAGTTCCTCTCTTCCAACTGCGTCACTAAGCGTAAGTACCCCTTTTTTTTATTTTTGGCTATTCCTTGTCACTCGATTTCTGCATCGTAAATGGCAGCCGTGAGTGGTGCTGCGCATGAGCGCGCGCGAGCGCCGCATAATGACAGGTAAACAGTGGAGCACCCAGTTGTGACCCCCCGCGGAGGCGCCGGTGTGAGACAGCCGGGTTAAGCAGCACGTGCTGTTCCAGCGGTGTTGTTCCCAACGGCGCGAAAACAATATGCCGGCTCTGTTACATAAGGTCGCGGCGCGCTTACTTTTCTCGCGCACCAGCCGACAACGAGCGACCTTTTTTTTTTCGCTGTCGGCCGGCGGCGGGCGCATTGCCGCCGGCCAAATCGATATTTGCTTCCAATGCCGTTCTCTCGAGCTGTTCTGCGCCGGTGGCCCGTGCCTCGAGTTTTTCAGCCTGTTCACGGGGACAGATAGGCAGCCGTTGCAACGGCAGGCTAACCTCGTCGGTCCAACCCATGTCGACAGGGCCGGATATGAATCCGGCACGCCCAGCCTCGCGCAGCTGTTGGGTTACGTTAGTTACGTTGGCCGCGTGCATACGAGGATAGCAGGGCAGCGACCTGCTGTGAAAGCAGATCTATGGCCATGCCTTTGCTCGCGTGCTAGGCCTAGTTTGGTGTCCGATGTAGGTTCCGTTATAGAACAACTACGTAAGCTGTTCCAAACATCTGATCACAAACACCTATCGGTGGCCCATTGACTTGAAGTTGCACAAATAAGGGGTGGAGATGAGCGAGTGCAGTTGGGATAGTATTTTTTCAATTCTGAATGATATCAGACTCTGACGAAACCGCAGTATTTTTTTTCTCTCTCTATCTTTTTTTTTTCTCTAAAACGTATAAACCTAAACATTTACAAATGACTGGTGCACTTATCGCTCAATGGAAATCACTAAAATTTATCAGAGAAAAAAAAAAGAAACACAACTCCTTATGTCCTACCAGAGTCAGCCTTGTCAATTCATCTAAAGCTATCACCAGCTTTATTTCTCTCTTACTCCCAAATCATTCGCTCTTTGTATGTGTAACCCGGGTAAGCTTTGACTTCAAGGCAGCAAGCGAAGGATGCCACAGTTGTTGATGTCGATGGCTGAGCAGAAGCACCTGACCACGCGTAGGGAAGCAGCTGGCAGAGGCTCGGTGGCCGAGTTCCCTTTATCGATCCGCTCGTCATCGAGCGTATAGTCGCAGCGCAACTCGTCTACAAGCTTTTTCTCTTGTCAGATTAACATCGATTGACTTGCGCTTACCTCTCGCGAATGTTCAGCCTATGACAACAATGCCGTAAACGTGTAATAAAAAGCTTTACAACGGCGCCCCCGCCCCGCCTCCACCTAAATGACAATGAACAAAAAGAGAGGGGGGGGACAATGGAAGGCGAGACGCATTTGGAATTTGCTTTGGTGCAAGGCATTGATGATCTTAAGTTTATAGGAGGAGGAATGTATAGCAATGTTTTATACCTCAAATAATTGAACAATCGTTGTGATTACATATATATATATATATATATATATATATATATAATATATATATATATATATATATAAGAGAAAGAAGTGTATACCTAAGAGCATCGAACGCGTTATTCGAAGGTCGTAGCTTCGATTCCTGCTCACGGCTGGTTATTTTTTCATCCACTTTTCTTTCTTCTTTCTTGTTATTTACATTCCATTGGTTCTAATAACTTCCCCTGTACATTCCTTGGCATTACTGTCTGTTAGATCTCATATATATATATATATATATATATATATATATATATATATATATATATACTGTTTACGAGTTACGAGGAGAAGGGGTAATGACCACGTTCCTTCTCCCTACTTCCACATCCCTCGTGGTGGAGTCCCAAACCATATTTTACCAACCCAAATTAGCGACTGCATTTCGATCTAGAGTTGCAGCAAAATGCTGCAGTAGACTTTGCAGAAAACTTCCATATATATAAGACGACACGAAGTGTACGCGCTCGGGAACGCTGCTTTGTTTGGTAAATTAAAAGTTTAAAATTTGTTGATTCGTTAGACGAAGAAGGTTACAGGGCATGCCGTTGGGCTTGTCCTGCAGCCTACTTTGCCTTGTCCCACATTAGTTTCGTGCTCATATTGTGCGTCAGGAATTAATCAACTTCATTTCGTGAACCTCACTCTTGAGGGCTCTTAAGCAGTTTAGACTCGATTCGTGAGCGCCGGCCTGGGCATACTGGCATGTTCGTTCGACCCTTTTTTCTTCCCATTCGCCTGTGTGGACAATCGACCCGAGGTGGGCAAGGGACAAAGAGGGATCGAAGGTTCAGGGGAGGTTGATGGCTCGTAGCACGACATGGAAATCAGTGGATCATATCCGAATGTACATGCAGATGCATTTGTTTGAGGCTTCGGAATGGCCCCATGAATTGCGTGTGAGTGCTTTTTTTTTTTTCGGAAAGTTTAACAGGAGTCTTTAAATGTGCCACCGGTAGACTGCTGGCAGAGCCATGGAGAGAAACGTGGGAATAAGGCATAAAGAGACAAACATAGGAACGGAAAACAGGTTAATAAGGGCCGAGTTTTTATTTGGCTACGATGTCCGAGGACACCATAAGAGGGAGAGAAAGCAGCTTTATAGGCGCTCGCGCAATGCCGTTGATCGTAAAAGGCGCAATAATGCGGCTTGGTTTTGACGTGTTGACAGGTGACGATGTTGTTGTAGAATTATCGCTTCAGACAGAATCCGGTCGCCCAGACTGTTTATTGCCACGGTTAAGTCAGACATGGTGCAGGTATAGACTTGTATTTTCTCCTTTACGAAAGAAACAAAAAAAAAACTAGTCATAAGCGAGTCTTTTTTTTTTTTTGAATATGGGAAAATGGTTTTCATTTGAAAATGTCGCTACTAAATGTTGGTGCGAGACTGGTGTTATGACTTGAAAATGAAGTTAAAGAAAAACTAGGTTTTCAATATGCTAATTCTATTTTCAAGGATTGCATTCTTTCTTCAAAGTGCTACGCTATTTGCTAACAGCGTAAAGATAGATGGTGGTTGGCCATAATGAGTCATGTTGTCCAGGTACTACTCAAATGTATTGTCTTCACAGCCCGCAAACGCGTCTGAGTCCATGCGTTCTTACTCGTGATTCATAGACAAGGTTCGCTTTGTCTTAATGAGCCGTTGTTTACGAAATTCCAATTCCGTATGTGTATATGGAAATTTAAGAGGAATGTGTAATTTTAATACACTCAGAGAAATTCATATACGGTTGGGCATAGACGTCGTCCTTTAATGAAGGTATCAAGTAAAATAATATGAAAAAGAAATGAGAGAGATTAGCGAGTAATTGTCTAATCGCTTCCCTTGTTTTGTCGTGCTTAATACGCGTTGGCTTAACATGTAAGTACAATATGTATAACAGTGGCATAATACGTATTTGGAGAATATCAATCAATCAATGTTTCTTAATTAGCATCAGAAATGTACATTGTGAGTACGTATGCAGGAGGAGGTCCCAAGGTAGTAAACCGCAGGCGGGACCTCCTATGTTGTTAAGAGGTCCCGCTTGGACCGTTAGCAGCCTAGGAGGTCCCGCCTATGCAGGTGGGACCTCCTAGGCTCCTAATGGTGTAGCATAGGCCTAGGACAACCGGAGCGCCCTTATACAGCGCCATCATATCCGAAACCGTAGTGCTCTTAACAGTTAGTAAAGATTCAGAGAACATTCACCGGAAACACAAAAACTAAAACAGGAGAGAATCATCAGGAACGGGGAATTATAGTCACTCGCGCAGTTTAGTTTTGTTCCAAAGCAATCCTTTTATGAGTCCGTCGATTTAGTGTTGCGTTTACGATATTAGGTTAGATCAGCTAAGCGCACAAGCTATAGACTATATTCTTAGCTGAGAAAAAAACAGCAGCAGTTTTTTTAGAATAAACAAATAAAAAAGAGAGAAGGAATCGCAAGGCATTATACTATATACATAGTTGCGATAATTGAGAGGAAAACAGTTGGCAGAGTAGCGTGTACATCCGCTCATTTGTCTTGTTGACAATACAGTACATACATCAGCCCAGTTATAACGTATGATGATCATGATATGTGGGGTTTCACGCCCCAAAACTACAATATGATTATGAGAGACGCCATAGTGAAGGGCTCCGGACATTTTGACCACCTGGGGTTCTTTAACGTGCACTCAAATCTGAGCACACGGGCCTACAGCATTTCCGCCTCCATCGTAAATGCAGCCGCCGCAGCCGGGATTCAATCCCGCGACATGCCCTGTTATAACGTAGGTACAGTTATTATGGTACATGCAGTTGAGTCATTCCTGCTCTTAGAATAGAAAAGTGGCGGAGTTTCGGAAGCCCTATTTCGACAGCGGTGCTAGCAGTGAGTTTGCTGCTCTGCAGAGCTAACTTCACTAGTCCTTGACTTCAATTGCGCGATTGCAGGGTTTGTTCTTACTCCTGAGTTGAGTAATTGAAGACTTAGTTAGCATGTATATAGAATATTTAACGAAGCTGATACTGAAAGATTTCTCGCTAGTGATGTTGCCTTAGTTGTGTGAATCCTATAGCTGAATGCGTACAAGTGTCCGATGAGGCAGCTACGCTAAAAATTAAAAAAAGTGTATTTTACGCATAAAAGAGATACGTCAAGTAGAATAAATCTGTAATATATGTACAATTTGTGATGTTCCGTCATACGATGGTCGCTCACATACTCTTGGAAAGGCAAGCAAGGCTTTCAAACAAAGCTATGCACTCTTCAGCTCTCTGCCTTTCTGTAAATAAGTTCTCTCTCTATACTCGTCCGAAGAGGACTAACAGCTTCTGCACACTTTGTTCATGCGCCGCGCTGAAGCTTCACCGCAGCGAACATCGCTGCGCGATATAGTTGATACTAGATATATGCATGCACGTATACGATGAGTGACGCGAACTTTTTAACTGAAGACCTGTGTCTATATAGCTCCAGTGCGTTGCCAGTGTTTTC